ATCTCTGGTAGGACTAAATACCACCAGAATAACCACTTCAGATACTCTAGTAAGTAGCTGTGATATGTTGCAAGCCATCTTAATGCTGAATTAGTATTTAAGTGCCAGCAAGAGCTTCAGGTTTGTTGCCTCTTTGTAAATCTCTTTTTAAGCTACTAATCTTCCTATCATCTCTTAATGCATGCTTCTCTCTGGGCATCATAAAACTGCACACTGCTGAGCATGTTGTGGTCTTACTATGCAAGGAAAGATTTTAAAATAGCATCCTTAAATATTTAAGAACAAATGTCTTCATCTTGAGCATGAAATTCCAAAAAGAGTACAGCAATGTCATTTCATTTGTCTACACTTCTCTTCCTGTGTTTACTGCCCCAGAAATATGCATTGTATTATAAAGAAAATGTCTGTTTGGCAGGAGGTTTCTTTTTGAAAACTGTATAGTGTTACATATTAACTATTCACTACAATATCCAAAGGGTCTGATTCTTTCCTATTTTTCTGCATTGGAGTACAGTTAAGTAAATAAATAGCTGTATAATAAATAAAATTGGTACCAGGAGGTTGGATACCAGAATTTTAGAAAGATTGATAATAGGAATAACACAAATGACACATATCACTTTGTATCATTGATGCTCCTATACAGCAGCCTCTGTTACTGAAAATCTACGGAAAAGCTATGATTAATTACTCATAAGAAGCCTAAATATTCAAGTAACTCTTTAATTGGACAAGAGGGAACACTATACTGGTATTCATAAATTAAACTACAATGCCATTTTCCTAAATGCTTCGTGAAACACTCTTGTCTGTGTATCTTTTTGTGCAACTGCAATCAGATGTTTACATAATAGTATGTTATGTAAAATATAAATGTAACTATTTGCATAGTAGTTCTTAATCCTCAGAACTTAGTTTTGTATTTGCAACTAAAAATTATGCATTTACTAATCAACGTTTCATTAATTGAATATATGCATGCAGGAAAAACACTACTGCAGAAAATCACTGTATTCAGACTTGAAATATTACTACTTCAAAATTAATTATGTTGTAAGAAAAAAGTCTTGTGCCTTTAGAGCAGCAAGAAGATGAGAATACAAGAAAAACCTCTATTTTATTTTTCCTTAAATGTAACTTGTTCTCACTGAGCTACAGTATATTTTGCTAGATCTTGTGACAGTGTGATACTGCAAGTAAAAGTTCAAGATTGCATTCATATCCAACTTTAAAGTTGCAACTGTGAGATGCACACTAGTTATTATAACTAGATATGTATTTATACACACCCACAGGTTTATATGTGTTTACACTGACATGTCCAGATTTCAGGTAGTGTAAAACTGTCATGTTTCCTTTGGCTACAACAAGGCACTGCTGATATAAATGCCTCCAAAGTATTAATTGAGGAATGCTCTTTGCACTCCTTGAGTTGGAGTTAGAAGAATATTTTTTGTTTCGAGAAGGGTAGCAGGAGTGTCAGGAGATCTGGGGAAAGCATCATAAAACTTGATTATATGATCTTGGCAACATCTGCCAAGTAAAGAAAATACGAATTTCAATCAGGGGGTTATTTTTGCATAAAAAAGCACTGCAAATCTGCTACCTTTCTCTAAACCTTAGCTGTTGGTTGAGAGACTTTATGCTCCAAGTGCTCAATAATACTGGGTCATCACTGATGTGTTTTTAACTGCCACCAAGAGTTACCCACTGGCAGCTTCTCCAGTGAACACTGCAGCACACACGCTTCTCCAGAATTTCTCTTCTAGCACATACATAGCTCATAAATCCTGTGTATTGTACAAGGTAAAAAAGAGCAAAACCTTCCAGTTTCCTCCCTTCAGCTGGAAGGATGAGGGGTCAGGTAAAGGGCAACCTCTTTTGAGCTCTGTTTTAGTCCCAGGATTGAAATTGCAAGACAAACTGGAAAATACTGTTTATATTTAAGCAAACTTATTAAGTACAGTACTGCCATTTGCCCTATCACTATAGTAACATCAGAGGTAGCTATAACAGTTTAATCAGAGTATATGAGTGCAAGTGAAAAAATAAATCATTTAGAGGTAAGTGAAGTCATCCTGTAGCAGAGCAGCCTGCCAAGGCAGTGGTTAATATTGGGCTTTACAGGGATCCTCTGTTTTCCCCAGATTGTCAAGAACTAGCATAATTTATTACTGTTGCTGTTCTCCACTTGTTATTTCTTTTCTTGTTTGATTACTAAGGCCTGTCAGCAGTAAGCCTGCATTTGAGGAGTAGATGCAATATCTCCTTTAAGGTTTTGATGCCTTCTAGCTCTTTCTCTGCATGGCACAGCAGTTTCTGCTTGAGGGATTAAATATCAAACTAAAAAAATAACAGAAAAATAAAGCAAAGTACACCTACACACACGTGCTTGTTTTTCTCTGCAATCACTCATATTAACCCATCTTAATTAATGAAGGAACCCTAAAGCCCCAAGTACAGGGGAACCACAGAATACTGCAGAGAACTGTAGCCTGAATTGTTTGATACTGTGCAAGTGCTTATTTATGCATGGGCACTCAATAATCATGCACTCCTGTCAGGCCTGACAGTCTCTCTCACTACGAGAAACATATTCCCAAACAGCAGCTACCTTTTTTAATCCTGTAAGAAAATATCTTCTAAGTTAATCAATGAAGTGGTTTTGGGTTTGTGGATTTTTTTCCCTTAGATAAAGCCAAAAGAGACACTCATTATATCACTGGCATATATAAGTGCCTTTGATAACACAGCCTGGATTATAATGGCTTTACTACAGACTGTGCATAATCCTGCTTTCTCATACATTCTCCACTGTACAAAACTTACTTGAATGCACTAAAATCAGTTGCTTGCAATCTAAATATAGCAGGTATAAGGCTCAAATATCAGAATTTTTCATAAACTTATATTAAGTAATTCCTAAAGGAATCAGAAGCTCTTAGTTCCTGAATATGTTCCAGAACTTCAACAAAAATTCAGTTTCCATGCTTTTGCATAATAAGACGCTGTTTGGGCATAAGTTCTACAAAGAATCATGGAATCTATTGGAGTGAATAGAGCTTACACTTTACAAGGGTTTTACAGCCTTGAAAGTCTGCCTGTTCAAGCTTACAATTTTAGTAGCTGCTCAAAAACAGTTTAAATTGCCTCTGCAGATGTAATTTTGTTTCATTTTATTGTTCTCCATGTCTTAAACTAGATTTAACAAGTTCAGCTTAACTTTGCCACAAAAATTAAGATGAAGAGAGCACCATAGAGGCAGTACAATTTAGCACTGAACTCTGGATATGGCTTTCTAGCAAACCCTAAGGCAAGTTTCTCTTTTTGCAGTCAGAGAGAGAGGTTGGAAGGGACCACAGTGGGTCATTTAGTCTAACCTCTCTGTTCAAATTTCTCCTAGAATACACTGCACAGGATTACATCCAGAGGCTTGTGGAATATCTCCAGTGAGGGAGACCACAACCTGTCTGGGCAATCTGTTCTAGTGCATTGTCATTGCACAGTAAAGTTCTTCATATTCAGGTGGTCTTTGTGTGCATCAGTTTCTGCCTGTTGCCTCTTGCTCTATTGCTTGGCACCATGGAGAGGAGTCTGGCTCCATCCTGACACCCTGCCTTCATATACTTCAAAACACTGATAAGGTCCTCTATCAGCCATCCCTTCTCAAGGCTGAAAAGGCTCAGCTCCCTCAGCCCATCAGGTCATCTACAGTATGACACACTGTTTTTCCTTACAAAACTTAGGAACAACACAATTTTGATTTTTCTATTAACTGCAGTGCAGGGTCACTGCCATCTTTAATGACTTCTTCAGAAGAGTCACTTGTGAAGTCTGTGCTCTTTTCTTACCTCAGTCCACAGAGATATTGCACCTCTTCTGAGGTGAGGAACTCTGCAACTCATTCTGCACTAAGCTGCCAGTAAAGCATCAATATCAAAGCTTGCCAGTTTAAACAATCACTTTCTCTAGTGACACTGAGTACAATTTTATAATATAAATAGTAATTGATTCCAACTGTGCTCAAACCAAAATTACTTCAATGGCATCCATTAGTATATATACTATGAAATTCAGCAGTCAATACTATATTATTCAGAGAGAATAATACACAACATTAAATTACAATTTAAAAAAAGAGTTAAAAAATTACTTCTTGTATCTATCAGTTTTAATTCCATCACTTGAATTTTTTCAATCCTCTAATTATATCACTTCCTCTCATTTTCATGCTATTTCCATACATCCCATTAAACAGATACCTAGTGCCACACAAGCCTCAAATGCAGTGCAGTGTTAGCCTGCTTTGCAAGCAAACGTGATTTAGTTTTGCCTTTCTTTCTCAATCATGGTTGCTGGAAAAAAGAACAGTTTGGGAATTTCCAGAATTCTCCCATCCCATGTGCAGTGTCTTCATTGCCCTGTGCCACGCTTGCCATGAGCCCCATTCACCTGCACTAAACAGACACTTCAGTACCCCCTGAGCCAGCCTCCCTTCCCTCTGGTGTCTGTGCAGTGGAAGCCAGTGGAGAACAGTTCCCAGGGGTGCAGCTTTAGGAGCAAACCCATAACCCACCTCTGAACTGTGCTGAGCCAGTTCCCCATGCCTGAGTCACACACGGCACTCACTCGCTGGGCATTTATGGTTGTACTTTTCTGTCTTGGTTGTTTCCATTAGTCTAAAGTAAAAGTCATTCAGGCTGAAAGGGCATTTTTGTTCTCTGCTGATGAAAACTGTAATGTCCCTTTGCAAAGAATTGAATCAACTCGTTTGTGCTGAATCACAAGCAAAATACTGTTCTCATCCTCCCTGGAAACAGAGTGTGAGATACAGCAAAACTGCAAAACTACCAAACTAATTAGCTAAGAGCAATAATTGCTTACTAGGAGGAACCTCATTGCAAACATGTACTGCAAAAATAAAAATATTCTGAGGTAATGTTTTTTCAAATAAAAAAATGCATTCAGTTCCTTTTGTTGTTATTATTTTGTTGTTACAGACTCAGATTAGCCCCAAGGAAGGGTGGCAGGTTTACAGTTCAGCCCAGGATCCTGATGGCCGTTGCATTTGCACTGTTGTTGCACCTGAACAAAACCTGTGTTCAAGAGATGCCAAAAGCAGGCAACTCAGACAACTGCTAGAGAAGGTAAGTCTTCCAAAAAAATTTCCTCCTCTTGATTATTAAACTTCTCACATAAATCTACTCCTTTCCCTCTAAATTTAATATATAGCCAACTACTGAAGAGTTATTTAATAAAAATATTTCTTCAGAGTATACTCTCTACCAGCATTCTCACCCCAATCGTTATTTGTCTGTTTTCCTTACATCACACCCTTCCCAACCCAAGTTGCATCTTCTCTCTTGTTCACTCTTCCCAAATTGTTCCTTACACACCAGGACAGATTTTTCTGTGTAAAAGCACTACAAATTCCACCTCAAACTAGCTCACTGCTGTGGGATTTAATCTACAGCTTCTGCTTCAATCATATGAGACTGCTGAAGGTCATTTCTTGTCTTACCAACAAATAATGAGATATAAACATGACATCATCTTGAAAGCAGACTGTGCAGAAGAGACAGTTACAATTTTTTCATTTGTTTTTTCCTCAGATGGTTCTATTTATTTATTCTCTGGTGGTGCAAATTTCCCCCAACAACCCAATTCTTAATTCCAGTATTGCCTACTGTTGCATGCATAGTAAAACCAATGAAGTGTTTTGCATCAACAGAAAAAACTGTGCAACCCTGAAAACACAAATGAGTGTTCTGCATTCCCTGCCTGTGTAACCAAGGTTCTAGTTATTGTATCACAGCTAGCAGTACAGAACCTGGGCCTTGAGGGAGGGTTTGAACTGCAGCAGAAAGCAACATAAAATGTAGACTTAAAAATATATTTTTAGGGTACAATTTTCAGTATTTTTCTAGCTATAGAAAAATTATTCCAGTGCTAATCTGTTGCCAGATGCCCACAGATTTTTGCTCCCTGCACTCCCATGAACTTCAGAAGGCACTTAGTTTCAAGTAGTGACAGAGCCCATAGCGTGAGTTGCATGGAGAGAACACTGATGAAGCAGCAGAAGAGGAGTTACCTCCTGTCACGCTGTCTGTTTATTTAAGAAAGGAAGACTTCAGTCTTTGCTCCAGCATATTTCCCAAATACTAAAATATTAATGGGAAAAAAAAATTATTTTGAGGTGGGGGCTGGAAGGATGCATTAAGATTGCAACACAGTTTTTGAGCTGCCACAGAAAAGAGCCTAAATCATTAGTCTCTAAAAGCTGTTTTCTTATGATTGGAACTGTGGCAGACATGGATGTGTAATGGCATATTATTCCTTCACTAAGTCAATGCAGTCTTTTAATTAGGGGCTCTATGTGAATGCTGCTTCTACCAAATGGAAATGCTCAAAATTCTTCCAGTACCCAAAGGACTTTATTTGCCTGCTTTGAACAATTAGAATGAAAAGAAAAAAAGAAAAATTGCTTTTCTCATTAAAAATCCTAAGAATTGCTAACAGCAACTGTGCAATAACTAATGGATATTATTTTTAAGAATATTTTCCAAATTCACACATTCTGTAGATCATGTGTTAGTTTCAAACATGAATATCCATTCAAACATCACATATTCTTGCAAACAAGAGGAATACTGCTGGGTTTATCTTTTATTAGGAAGGTAGATTTTCTGTTTGTTTGGTTTTTTGAGCCAGAACTTCAACATGGTGCCTAATACATTTACAGCAGTCTGTGTTTTGTGTTTCGGGAAAACACTTACTGAAATACAGTAACTGCACTTGGAAAATGTGTCATTTTTATGGCTGGCAAAAGCAGTGCTTTCATAACAGAAACTTTTAGAAGTATGTATAATTTACTCTAGATGAGAGTTACTGTTGCCTCAGCGTGGTAAAAGTGTTCACAATATCTACAAAGTCACTTGCTCTACAAAAGTTACCTGAACGTTCTCCACTTCTCATCTGAGAAAATGTGGGTTTCTACTGCTGACACAATTGGGTAACATTTCTATTTTTACATTTACTCACAGAATTATGAGTAAACACCTATTTGATGATTGACACACCCCAATTTATGTCTAGATAATCTTATTAATTCCTTATATTAGATTATTATATAATCACCTACTAGCAATGAAAGGCATGCTCTTTGTATTTACCAAAATCTCCAGATTTCAGTCCTGTCCTCCCAGAGTGCTTGGGAGGAAACATTTGCTGTGCAGCACTTTCTGAACAACAGTCACCTGGACAAGTGTCAAAGGAGACTCTACTGCCTGACAGCTCTTTTTGAGCCCGTTGATAATGGTGCTTAAAGGGTCTCTCTCCTTACCTCACAGCCCAAATAATTTATGGCTTCAAGGTCTTGCCCTGTTCCCCAGGATTTGTACTGTCATGCAGTTATGGAATTTGGAACTGTACTGTGGTATGAATGACTCACAGTGAAGCACTGACAGAAGCAGTTTTATTGCCTGACATTTAACCGGGGAAAACCGTAAAGCAACAAAAAAAGTGCATTTAGAGAGTGTTCTTCTTTAACAGGTTCAGAATATGTCCCAATCTATTGAAGTGTTAAACCTACGGACTCAGAGGGATTTCCAGTATGTTTTAAAAATGGAAACACAAATGAAAGGGCTGAAGGCCAAGTTTCGGCAAATTGAAGATGACCGGAAGACATTAATGACAAAGCATTTTCAAGTAGGTTTGATTTTAACAATAACTTTGAAGCCTGCTGGAAGCAATGTACTACGTAGCAATGCATGGACTGCTAAGGTCTCAGCTTGAAACGCTCCTACCAGAGCATCATTAAAAGGAAAAGCATAATAAATCTTCCTTTATGAAGATAATCGTTTGCTCTGATCAATTTAATTGTAATAGAGAGGAACTATTAATTATTAAGTCATTAGAGAAATGTCACTATAAACAGATTCCTGGTTTTTCCTGTATCAATGTGCATGTCATACTGAGACATTTATATTCATTCAAGCTCCAGTGATAAATGGGGAGATCCAATGGAATTAATAGCAAACAGCTAGAGATCTGCGCTTATGGTGTTGCCTGACATTTACTGCAGTTGAAGGGAAGAAAGCCTATAATAAATCAGGTTACTGTAATTTTTATCCAGTATAATTAGGATCTAATTTCATCTCTGAAGGTTTGCTGTTTTGAATTTGGGATGGGGAGGAGGGCAGTCATTCCCAGTCACATTTGTGTGATTAAAAAAAGACTTCCAGAGAATTTTAATGACAACAAAAACCACAAGCTAACCCTTCTGTGAGAAAGAAGGATTGCAGAGATCACAGGATAGCATTGTGCATTCTGAAAAGCTACCTGAAATACTCTTACAGGAAAATAAAGTTACAAGAGCATATTTAAGTTATTTAAATATCAAGTCTGATAAATTGACATTTCAAGATGGCAAGACAGCAAAATAGGTTCTAGAAAATAAATTCTGAAAATTATATGATGTTAAATATATATTTTTGTAGTGTTTATAAAAGTTTGCATAAAATGAATTTAATTTTCTAATTGGTGCTAAATTTATATACCTATATAATTACATAGCCAAAGGGTCTAATTTATTTTTCAGAGACACTGAATATCCAATGGGTCTTAATAATATCAAATTAAGTATACTAATGATCTGACTACCAAACTTTATTGATTATGTCATTGTTCTTAGAGTTTGAGCATATGCTTCCATTTATATTCAGGTAGTAAGAAACATCTCCACTTCTTTTGCCTTTTACCCCTCATTGCCACAATAACAACACATTTGTTGTATAATGCCATTATATTCTGTATTCTCGTTATAGTTTTCCTTGGGAACAAAATACCACGATCTGAATGTCTGATACACAATGTCAAAGGTAGCAGATTACTCCAGCACTTTAACCTTTTAAATATTCGATATTTGTATTGGCCAGTCATTTAACTTCAGTTTGACAGTTTGCCTGGAGTACAAAAGAGTTCCAGCCAATCAAGTTATAGAATAATTTAAAAGGTCAACATGATACAATATGCTGCTGGCTTTCTGAAATTTGCTCTGCTAAAATTCCAGTGCTTTATCTTTCCCAAGACAAAGAAATTCATTCTGGATGTAGCATGACCTCTTATATCAGCAGGCTCAAAGTGCCAGAATCCATTTACCACCTATTGGTGTTGCAATACAAATTAGTTCTTGTACCACTCGTCATAGCAACAAGCTAGGATTGTCAGATGAAAACAATTTCTTATTTATCATGAAAATGCCAAACCCAAGTTTATATCATTTACTGAAATGAGGTCTTCTAAAGCTGTGTTTTCATATTGATCAGACCCAAAGAGTACAAATTTGATCCAGATCACACTTGAGCATATGGTCATACTTCAGTCTAATCTGTATTTATGCCAGGCAGGAGGTACCTGTTTTCCACAAAAAGTTACAGCAAGTTTGCTCAAATCATACCTCATCTGGCATAAATCCTACCAGGAACTCATTACCTTCACTAACTCTCTTAAAGACATTTTATCTCCCTGAGTTGTCTCAAGATTTGCCTTTTTTTTTTTTTTTTCCATTATGGTTGACCCATGATTTTTGGCCATTCACTGCCCCACAGAACCAAAGCCCAAATTCATGATTTCAAAATGAAGTAACGAGAACTTTGGTTTCTGGAGCTCCATTTTCTCTCTCACAAAGCTTACTCCCCTTGTCATCGAGGAAAAAAAATGACTATTCATTTTATCAGATATAAAGTAGGTTCAGGCTAAGCTTTTAATAAAAACTGACCAAAAAAATTTGAACTGCAAACAAAAAGACTTCTCACTTCTTCCTTTCCATATCAGCAATTCTACTGCCATAACCTTGAGAACAGAACCAATAGAACTGATACTCTCAAATCCCTGTACGATGACATACCTACTGATAATTTAAAATGCAATTTTTCAGCTATTCAGATGACCTGTGTGCAAGACATGCTCATAAAAACACATACACATTTTTATTTTGAGGTAATAGTAATTCCAATATGAAAAAATTGTTAAGACAATATGGACATATTAGCTAGGTGATGAGATACTGCAGAACTCTCCAGCTGTGTTTGAACACATTTGAGAGGCAAAAATTCAGAGATGGATCTTCAAGCAGCCCACAGGCTGACCCTGCCTATCAGCTTCTTTCATATCTCCTTAGCAAAAATGCATTTGGCACCCTCATGTAATTTATTTTGGAAATGTCCTACCCTGTTCATTGCATCTTTTGAGACAAGTGGTGTAGCAAATATGTGCATGTCTCAGCAACCTCTCACACATTTGCTACTCAGCCTCTTTCTGGTGCTTGGCCTTCCACTTAGTTCTCTTCTGCTTTCCCTTTTAACTTGCTGAATGCTCCAGATACTGATTTTTAACCCTTTCAGTAACCCCTGTGCCCTTAACTGCTCCCAGTCTCTGTTACCACCTAACGCACTTAATACCTAACAGAGCTTTCTTTCCATCTTTGCCTTGCTTTGTCCACCTTGGCATCTCCTCGTGTCTCTCTGGCATTTGCTTATGGAAGTCCTGCTGTTCCCACATATTATAAAAAGATTTCCAGATTTCTATATACAGATAATATATCAGGGGCAAACCTGCCTACTTTTCAATGAAGCGAGACCTTTTGACTGTGGGTTCTTTGAGGTCTTCTACAGAATAATAACCAAACATAAAACCACCTCAAACAATTAGGTTAAATTTAATAAAGCCCCTATTATTAGTGCATTTAAAAGAATAATTAAGAAATGAAAAATGGGCAGCCAATACAGGTAACAAACTAAAACAAACTCAAAGTATGAGACTTGGCAAAAAATTGAAAAAGTGGCAATCTGAGATTCCAAAGTAGAGCCTTATTTTATTTAATCAATGTTTAAGGATAAGATTGGCCATGCAACAACAACTGCATATGGCAAAAAAATCATTTATGATAGTCCAGAAAAGAGAGAACTGAGGAAGTTTGAAGGCACCTAGTGATGTAGCAGGATGACTAATACAAATCACAGTTAAGAACCATGGATTTTTCACTTAAAAAGGAAGAGGCATATATCACTGTGGCTGGAACAACTGAACAGTGGTCAACACATGTTGAGAGAAAGATTAATTTAGCATTTCTAAAGAATTAAGTAGAAATTAGCAGCTCATCTTAAGTATGACAGCACTGTAAACCAGGTATGACCTCCTTGAACACTACTGTGCATTCAGGCCTAACCATCTTCTGAAGAAAGACACACTTAATGGGGGTTTATGTCCTCTAGATGGGAAGTCAGACCTTCAGCAGGTTTGGTTGAGATCCACTTGAATCAGGTAATCCTTTCCTTTCAGTAGAAAAATAATTCTCCCATGCGTTTTATCTACTGCTTATTACCATTAAGTGTGAGGTTTCTGAGACATTCAAAACAGACTAATAATAGATCTGTAACTAAAATAAATAATAATTTCCAAGTCATTTTAGTAATCAAGCATAAATATTACATTAAAGGAAATTAGGGGATTGAACTCCTTTAAACTGCTCTCATGGACATATGATTGCTTTTAACAGGAATTGAAAGAAAAGATGGATGAACTCCTGCCACTGATCCCAGTTCTGGAACAATACAAAACTGATGCCAAATTAATCACCCAGTTCAAGGAGGAAATTAGGAATCTGTCTACTGTGCTCACTGGGATTCAGGAAGAAATTGGTGCTTATGACTATGACGAACTCCACCAGCGCGTACTCAGTTTAGAAACCAGGCTCCGGGACTGCATGAAAAAGCTCAGTAAGTTAACAAGTTCATGGCAAATTTGGTTCCTTGGCTGTGTACTTTTAGTTGTCTCTCTTAAGAAAGATTAAGTTTTTTGTTTGGTGAAAGACTACACATTATATTCTGATCTGTGCTACCCTAATAAAAATCAAGAGTAACTGAAGCTAAGGTGAGTTACTTTGTGCCAGTGTATCTTAGATAATGACCTGTCCTACTGTATACAGAAGGAATTAAGATGGAAAGTGATAACAGACAGCAATTTCAAAACCTAAGAGTTTTGAAAACCAGTTGGAGAGCTGCAAATACTCTATTGAAAAAGCTCAGAGAGGCATTGCTACTAGAGTCACCCTTGGGATGACAGTGTAAAAAAAAATAGTGGGAAATAGAATGGAATCAGTATTGAGATGTCCACATCCTAACCCTGTCATTTTGCTGTGACACCTGAGAGCCCACTCTGGCTGTATTGTGTTTAGACGTGTAATATTAGCACTAAGAGAGGTGTGCCATTCTCCAATTTGCATTAAAATGTAATTAAGCATTACACCTAATTTAAGGGAACAAAGCATGATTTCTGTAAGAAGCACAGCAACAAACCCAGCGAGCACTCACTAGATTTGCAGCAGGCAGTCTCCATTTGGTGCTCACGTGCTGGCTTTAGTTAGAAAAGGTGAAACATCGAGCATCTCTGAAAACCAGTGCTCAGTATCAGCCACCAAAACTAAGAGCCTGAAGGACCATTTTCAAGTGTCAGCCTTAACTTCCATTCCCCCAGGAGGGGTAGGCAGCACCTACCTGCCTTACAAACACAATGCAGTCTCCCCTTTCCCCAGTCTATCCATCCATTCTGAGACTCCTGAACTGATCACTATTGCAGCAATCCAGCCCCTCTAAGAAAAACACTTTGAAAGTTAACACTGAACGTGAATAAACCAGAAATTCCAAGGGTCAGTCCTGTGATCGGTGTCTCAATTATCAAGTGTGGGATGTTTACTTCTAAGTGCTACACATGACCTTAAATATCTTGTTGACAGATAAGCAGAGCCTCCTTATTTTTGTGATGCAATGGAATGAGAAAAATCTAGGTTAAGTTAGCCTCTTAAATTATTTATTTTCAGTTTCTTTATTTTACACTGGAAATAGCACAGTGATGATGCACTAAAATACATGAAAGACCTCTTCAAACACAAATTTCTTATGATCCTATTTTCCCCTCAGTACACACACATAATAGCACATTACTGCGTTGACAAGAGACAGTCAGGAGAAAATCTGTGTTGCAATATCACAGCAAAAAAATTCCTATGAATAGACAGTATTTTCCAATAGTTTATCTTTAACGAGTATCTTGTTTTTCTTTGCTTCTACACCATCTTGTAATATTGATTAGTGAAGTGACTACAGTGTGAGATAGATCTTAAACAACAGAATTACTTGGTGTATTCACATCCTATCTATCCTCAATTCCTGCAACACGTTCTATTTCCCTTGATGTACCTAACAGAAAAAAGTCCTATTAAAATTGCATATATTAATAGTAGAGAGAAAATGTTTGTATAAAATAAATATTAAGCATATCCATTATCAAAAGGGAGTGGATCTTTTCAAGCTCTAACACAGATTCATTCATCCTTATTGGCATTACTCCCTGGTCTTAGATGCTTAAATGACGTTTATGCTCACCTGTTAAGGGACTGGCTGGTTTTTTCACCTATCCCTGTGTACCTTTTAAAGCAAAACCAGCTTCAGTCAGGCCTGTTGTAACTCCTGAAAGTCCAGATCAGGAAGTGTAAGGGCAGAACAGCTTTCGTGCCTGCACCTCCTTCCCGGCCACATTCACCACGCTGGGGATGATCCAGCTGGGACTGTCCCTGCCAGTCTGATGGCCAGAAGCCTATGGCAGCAGAAGGCTGCCTCAGGATCTGGCTGCAATTTTCACACATTTTGTTGCATTTCACCATATAATTACCTAATCAGCATGTGCAATAGCTATTTTCCATTCTTCTCCCTAGCAGGTGTTTTTCAGCCATGTAATGCATTATTTATGTTGTCCTGGCCTCTTACAAGAGATCTTCCATCTGCACTGGCAACACTTTCAACATCATCAACATATAGTGAGCAGTTGTCTTACTTTCAGTGAGGTTTAGTGATTACCACAACAGTTGTGATGACTGGAATTTGCTTCTTCTCTGTGAAATAAGAGAAAATCCAGGAAGAAGCCGCTGAGAAATTTGTTCACAAAGCTTTAAAAGGGTGCATGCAACTAAACATGAAGTGCATGTGATTGCACACACCCCAAATTCACATACACTCACGTGCACATGGGTCCTTTGCTGGCAATCCTCTAAGGACATGTAAGTTTATGAGAGAGTGCAGGTTGCACAGTGTGCTTGGAACCCTCCTATTCTTGTCATAATGTGTTTATGAAATGAGGGAAATAAATAAGTCGGGCTACCATTTTTCTTAGTGTACCTGAACTTCTTCACATTTGCTAGTATGAAGATACATTTGACCTATATTCTTACTAGCATCTGGTCCTTCTCCTGTCAGGGAATTAAATTGCTATATTGCTATAAACCAAAACAGAGGAAAAGGGGTGGCAAGAAGGCTTTGGCCATGTTGGGGAAAAAAAATGCACAGGCTAGTTTTAACTCTCCACCACCTCACAGCTATGGAACATTCCTAGTCCAGAAGTGATTCCCATTTCACGTTACATTTGTCCGTTCTCTAGTTCTCTACATACAGAATGAGCTAAAGAAATGCCACAGCTGAAAATCAATTGGAATTTTCATTCATTTCAGACTCCAAGACTTGCCATGCCAGAAAAATGTTAAGTAAATGATCCTGCCTTCAGTATATTAGTATTGCCATTCCCTAGCAAAAAACCTCAGCATGCAGGATCAATTTTAGTATAGCCACACAAAGAGTTAAAGGGTTCATTCTGCAGCTGAGAATACAGACTGGCTTTAGATCAACATGTTTTACACTTAAGTAGAGAAGAAGAAGCTGTTACCAACTTCAGTGGGAGAGTAAGGGAAATTTCTTGGACTGAATGCAAAGTTGGAAGTGCTTAAAACCACAGAGGAAACTCACCTTGTTTTGTCAGTGAACTGTTAGAGATTATATTGAGCTTTACTCTTGAGAGATTTGTCATTCATTTAATTTCTGTATCAAATGCAAGATCAGGCTTGGGCAAGCTGGAAGGGAATTATCTTTATAAAGTCACCATAACCAATTATTTCCATGTTACACAGATTCATAAACTGCATACTGTAGTAATGTATCATCAAAATGCTGTGATATTCAGCTGGAATAAATTACTTCACTGTGTTAGTAAGTCAAAAACACTTCAGCACAAACAGCACACTTGCTACTTTGTAATGAACAAAACATAAATTATTCCAATTCTACCAGTTTTTAGGGGTCTGCTGTAACAACTGGGTGGGCACATTTGAAGGTAGGGCTCCAAAAGACAGAACTGGAGAAAGCAACACCACCTTTCTCTTGAAGAATGAGAAATTAGATTTACAGTTTCTATAATTGTGTTCACTTCTGATCCAACACTGGAAGCAACTGCATTGGGGACTGGCTGACAGTTTGACAGAGTAAAGCGTGAACTGAAGGTCAGAGGAATTTCATTGAGAAGGGGAGGAAAATTTGGCCTCTGTTGCTTTTTCCTGATGTCACATTTCTCTGCATCATCTGTCAGCAATAGGTTCACTCTATTCACAAGACCAGTATTTAGGCAAGCCTGCTGATTTGTGGAATATTTGGGACAATTTACTTCTACAGAAGTTACTTGTGCAGCCTTGAACAGTTTAAAACAGCATGAGCTGATTTATCAAGGTTGACCATTCAACCAAGACTTTGTTTTGGGGCCTTGTCCTGTTCTTTCAAGCAGTACTTTCTGAACTGAAAGGACTTAACTGCTTGGTTGGAGTTGCCACTATTCAAAAGACAGGTGACATGCATGTACTTGGCCCTGAACATTTTGCAGATTACAGAAGAGGGAGATTTAGAAACAATCTGCACCTGGAGTAAGGGTGAGGGTAAACAATTGTAAATAGTATTTTCCCATTTTTTAAAATCATGTCAATAATTTTATTAAAGGCTGTCTGCAACTAGACTTAAATGACTAGAATTTTAGCAGAGACTTTATATATTAAGCTCCTATGCTGAGGGATCTTTCAACTGTAAGGAGACTGGGGTGGGCACTGACAGCTCTGCTGCATCCTTTTTACTGTACATGCTGTGAGCACACTTCAGGTACTGCTGAGGTTTACAGAAGAAACCTGCTAATGGGATATGAATTATCACTACAGTAGGAATAACTTACTATATACAGAAAATATACTTGTAGTATTACTCCTTAGTCTTAAATATCAGTTCCATCAAATTATAATACAAATAGGCAGATCCATGGGTTTCTGTGTAATGAGCAAGGAAAAGGAAAGATGGGTCATACTGTAGGGCAGGAGGAAGAAAAATTCTCATGCCTCTTACAAAATGCTCTGTTTTGTTGTGCTGAAAAGAGAAGCTTTGTCACTTTTTCAGTCAGCAGCCCCTCAGCTATACAGCAGCTGTCCTAAGAGTCTTCCTTTCTTGATCACTACACGTTATCTGAGAATAAAAAATTGATCACATAAATACACCCTGATTCAAACTGCTGATAATTCAGTGGCTGAAGTACAGTGTCATCTCTTTTTCTCACGTTGAACAGCATCTCAATATATTTTGAAAGACTATTCTCTAAAAGCATCTGACTCCTGTCACAGGGGAAAGCAGCTTGGTTCATTCAACTGGCAGTGAACTCTACATTCAGGATAAATAGGAGTAATGCAGCAGAGGTACATTAGTACTAGACACACAAATTTCTGAACACCCTTCTCTGGCTACACTCAAAAACTCCAGTCACATGTGGATCACCACGTGCACAAACACCCACGGAGCTGTGTGCACACCCCCACAGCAGCTGGCACGTCCTACAACCCCACCATCTGCTTTTACACCTCCCCTGCTGGAGATGTGGGACCTCGAGCTCGGTGTGTGCCCCTGCTGCTCCCCCCAGCCCACAAACACACACAGAGCTGTGAGCTGTCACACACCCGCCCTGGCTGGGGGACCCGACCCACGGCCCCCCATGCTGTGCCTGCACTGGCCAAGTGCTGGCTCTGCCTGGCCCCGGCACCTCTCCCTGACCCCCACTGCTCATCCAGCCACACAGGTGCAAACTGCAGGCACCCTGTCACCCTGCCCTGCCTGCCCCCACCACACTGCAGGCACCCTGTCACCCTGCCCTGCCTGCCCCAACCACACTGATAACACACTGTCACCCTGCCCTGCCTGCCCCAACCCGGCATTACCCAGCCCATGCACAAAGCTGGGCTCTCAGGGCACCCTCACATCTCTGCCATGGGCCCCTTCCACAGGGTTTGTCCATTCAGAAGCAAAATTTCACGACTCGTATATAATTCCACATTTAACTTCCTGGATTTCTTTTTTTGATAGAAGAAACAGTGTCTCAGACTCCAAATTCTTTCCTTATGTTTTCCTACTAATTTAAATACTGTGTTTTAAAGGCACGAATTAGTATATACCTTATAGCTCATACATTCACTGTGTTTTAATTATTTTAAAAACTACAAATTCAGCAGTAATTCTTTTTTCCAATTTCTTTCTACTTATTATTAGTTTTCTAATATTTTTATTCCAAATTCCAAAGTTAACCCTTCTGAAGGTTTGAGTGTATCTCATGCCCATTTCTGAGACTATTTACTAACATACCATCTAAAAGTAAAAGCCTTCACGCTCATGGGATATAATCCTCTACTTTTCAAGCTAATAGCAGTTCATAGCTGTAGAAAAAGAGCCCTCAGCACACAACAATAGCAGCCTATCTACAGAGAAATCCAGAATAAAAAATCTGTGCTGTGATAATCAACTGCAAAAACCCTATAAGATTCTTTAAAACAGGAAATTCCAAAAATATCTTCAAAATATTACAACGTACATAGATTGAGATCTGTAAATAATAGTGCCTTTTAATTGACCTAGAAAATAGACACAGCCTACCCTGCTCATTGAGGTCTCAGCCTGCATTCAGTTATCTTCATTTCCAATTGGCTGTGAACAAAAACTCCACAAGCAGCTTCTGAGTTGTCCCCACAGCATTAACCCCATTCTAAGGGACTGAAACAGGCTGGCACAACACATTCCTAGGCAGTTACAGAGAGGAGAAACTTTAGGCTTAATGTGACCCTCTTCTGAACTGAATAAATTCATTCTCAACAACAGATGCAGTTTGTTTTCCACATTTCCTAGATAGATAGGGTTTCACAGTATAGCACACCCATGTAGCACAAAGTACTTATTTTTAGTTTAAAGAAATTGGTGAAATACTTCACTTCTTTTTACATTCTTATGGAACATCTTTTCTGTAAAACCATAATATTTTACCTAATCACCTGCACACCACTACGTGATATTAATCCTTGGTAAATACAATGAATTCCATCAGGAGCTTGTTGCTAATAGGAATGTTATTAATGTCCCTTAAAATATAGATTTCTGGATTGTTAGGAAGGTCAGCATCCAAGATCATATCGACTTTCATTATTTCCTCCCAGACAGTCTAATATGAGGCAGTCTAATGAATCAGAAGCCAAGTGGTACAGCCCAGCTTGCTGAGTAATTCTCATACTTTCTTCAGACCAGCCCCCAGTCCTGGAACAGCTACGTGTGTGCAACCACAGGGCAGTCAGGCACAAGCTTTGTGTGCAGCTTGTTTTGTGTACAAGCTCATTTTTTCCTGTCTGCCCTTAACCACCCTCTTACCCTGGTCAATGGAAAACTGAAACATCCGTCAGTCCTAGCCTTGCACTGAAATTCCTGAAGGCAAAAGTGACGGAGGGTTACGTCTTCATTTCATTTATCATTAGGTGTTCTTCACTTCAGCTCAGAAGATATGGAAAAGTTCCTTCAGTGAAGATGACAATCCATCTTCAACATAAGTCTGAATCCCCTGGAGCCACAATTTAGTTTAGAGCAATTGGTCCTGTGCTGTGACTGACATCAAGGAGAGTTGTGCAATTATTTGCATTAATGCATTTGGTTTTTTTAATTTCAGCATGTGGCAAATTGATGAAAATAACAGGTCCCATTACAGTGAAGATATCTGGAACCCGATTTGGAGCCTGGATGACGGATCCATTGGCATCGGAGAAAAATAACCGAGTATGTAAAGACACTGACTGTCTTTGTGCCCCCTTTTATTTAACTTGCTTTATTTTAATCCTTACAAAGGTATTTTCCCCCAGGAAGTTACACTTCCAAGTGTGTTTCTTCTACTTCAGTCATTTTCACACTTAAACATCTTCAGAGAAAAAGCAACAGTGTTTGTGCAAAAATATCCCAAGACGAAAGTTAGCTAAGCACCTTTATGCCTTCAACTTCTTCAGGGATGACAAACATCTCTCTGAACTCACTACACTTTCTTTTTATCTCCTAACATGTTTAATTGAGTTTGTGTCTTGAAGAACTCAAGTACTGTAAAACAAACATCCACACTTTTACTCAAGAGCATGACTTGTAATTCAGCACAGTTAAAATTTACAGGATTAGGCCCCATATAAGTTGTATTCAGGCCATTTTCTGCATCGTATCCAAGTTATGTTATTGTTTGGATCTAAAATAGGGTCTCAAATTGGGCACATCTTTAAAGAAGTGCTTTCTCACAAGGGGTTTGGAAATCGAAACACAGTTTCATTTGTATGAGACCCACAACATTAACTTTTTGAATACAGAAAAAAAACAAAGGTAGCATACAAATAGCAATAACTAAAGATTTGGGTGCAGCTCTCCCATGCCTGCTGTGCCCGTGCAGGTTTACTACTGACCCCAGAAATCTCAGTTAACTTTAGGAGAGCAGCAAACTCTGCTCGGCCCCATCTTATCCTGAAAATGTTTCCTCTGATACCTCAGGGCAGCAGTGGCTGCTCCAGAACCAACCCCATGAGCCCTTGTCTCCATCAGCACCTGCTCCCTGTGTAGTCCCCTCTCAGCACACCCTGCCACCCCCTCCCCAGACAGCCACCACATGGCCCCCACTGCCACCCTCTTCAAGCAACACACAGACTACTTGTGCATGCAAAGCATGCAAAACCCTCCTTGCACCGAGTATTGGGCAGCTGGAGGCTGAAACGGTGTTTATACAAATATTTGGTTAATGTCAGTTTTGAAATTGGCATAAAAAACCCTCCAGAAATCATTCTTTTTTTTTTAGTCAGGATTTTATTTGTCCTCTGACAAACTAAAAGGAGAAAAGGCAAAATGCATGAAGGAAAAAATGGGGAATGGAAGTTACATACAGCAAATTAAACAGAAGTATTGATTCTGTTTTAAGGAGAAAAAATGGTTTATAAAGTTTACTGGTTTCATTGCTATTGTTTTTGTTTTCTTTACTAAGAATAGACTATTTTTCATTCATTAGAGATTCAGCTGAAAAAAATTCAACCCCATTTATTCGTAACTATAAATTCAAGTTTAGCTCGCATACCATTTTCCACCTCTCTTAGATTATTAGTCTCTGGGAATATCTTTAAGCAAGCCCCATATAGCAGAAACCCAAACACTGAACAATCCAAAATTGAATTTCTCTGAAAATGCAGACACTGTAGTTAGTAACAGTTATATTTAAAGTTCACCTGTATAGGTAAGTTTTGATTCAGAAATTCAAGAGCTCCTCCTGCTTTTGTAACAGCACCGTGAGCAGCATTGTCCTTTGATAGCCTGCTGTATATTTAAAACCTGTTTTCCCTCTGTTCCTGCAATTTATCCATCATGCCATATCATCCTCATGTTCACAGATTGTGTTTCAGATGTTTACTCCCAATCTTTGTTTTCTTTCCAGGTCTGGTACATGGATAGTTACACTAACAATAAAATTGTCCGTGAATATAAATCAATGGCAGACTTTGTCAGTGGGGCCGAGTCAAGGACATACAACCTTCCATTCAAGTGGGCAGGCACCAACCACGTTGTCTACAATGGCTCCCTCTATTTCAACAAGTATCAGAGCAACATCATCATCAAATACAGCTTTGACACCGGGCGGGTGCTCGCGCAGCGCAGCCTCGAGTACGCTGGCTTTCACAATGTCTACCCTTACACCTGGGGGGGCTTCTCTGATATTGATCTGATGGCAGATGAAATCGGGCTGTGGGCTGTGTATGCCACCAACCAGAACGCAGGCAACATTGTCATCAGCCAGCTAAACCAGGATACTCTGGAGGTGCTGAAGAGCTGGAGCACAGGCTACCCAAAGAGAAGCGCTGGAGAATCCTTCATGATCTGCGGCACCTTGTACGTTACTAACTCTCACTTAACAGGAGCCAAGGTCTACTATTCGTATTCCACAAAAACTTCCACTTACGAGTATACAGACATTCCTTTCCATAATCAGTATTTCCATATATCCATGCTTGACTACAATGCAAGAGATAGAGCTCTCTATGCCTGGAATAACGGACATCAAGTCCTGTTTAACGTCACCCTCTTCCACGTCATTAAAACTGAAGATGACACATAATTTTCTTTCCCTCACCTCCCTCCGTCAAAGCAGTCTCATTTGTGATTAACTCTAAAAGCATCCATCTCTCTCAGTTCCTTTTAATTTACATTTCTTTCTTCATTGAGGAAAAGCAACATTTTCTACTATGTAATGCATTTCAAATATGGCTGAGCCTGTCAAAAATGACCTGTCGGAAATAAAAGCATCTTAACTCATGATTCTACGAGGTCTGTCAAGACCTTGTCTTGAAAAGCACTAAAGAGGATTTAAGTGGCTAAAGACAGTTTTTAAAAGATTATGATCTGCCTTATTTTAGAGTCAGAGACTAATGTTGGCTTAAATGCATGAATGTCTTTTTTTACCTCATTTTTGGTTTTAATCTATTGCTTAACTTCAGGAAGCATTTTGGTAGTGTCAGACACATATTGCACATTGTATTTTTTTATTTATTCAGAAAGATTTAGGAACTTAATTTACTTAGACATGGAGTATGATTCATTTTGCCATCACCCAATTTCAGATGTGGTGCTGTACAGTATGTTTTTAAATCTCTTGCAAACATTTTATCGACAGTATGTATTTCTACCATTGTAACCACCATTGTGCAATTGTATCTCTTCACTTATGTGAAAGTAAACTAAGTACTATTTTTTATAAAATATATTGAAATAATTGCAGTTCTGGTTATGGGTCAATTGAAAGTGGTAAAAATCTGCTAAAAGGTTGTTATTTCTGAGAAAGACCAGTAGCTTCTCAGATGCATGATTCCTGTTCTCAGCTTTGCTTGGTAGATCTCTTCTTCACCACTGGCACTTACTGAAGCCTCATACCCGTCTCAGCTTTACAGTTGTTTGCCCTGCCCGATTTTTATCTCATCCTGCTGGCTTCTCTCTCCCTCAGCCTGTTTCTCCTGCTTTCTTCCCTTCCACCATTGTATTGCCCTTGTTTATGCTCACTCCCTGATCTGGGCTTTACAGGAGAGAAGCAGAGAGAGCCTGGTGCCCGTGTCTGCAGCAGGAGTGGGAGTGCTCAGCGTGAGTGCTGTTCTGGGGCAGTGAGGAGCAATGCTAGAAGTGAAGTTCCTTTCCCTAATCTGCCTGTCTTCTTACTCATAATAGAAGAACATTTATCTTTTGACAAAACTCTTCTCTGGGATGACCATAATCAAGGAGAAAACACAAAGGAAAAGGTACAAAGCATGGGTGATCACTGGGGCACCTGGTAACTCTTGCTAGGAAATGGCAACAACGCTGAGGCCAACCTCTTGCAAAGAGGTTTGGGATTTGCCAGCAGTAGAATTGTTGCTTATGGTCAAAACTGATGCCTTTAAAATACAAATATTTATGAAAGCTGTGTGGCTTGCTACGCTATCTCATTAGACACTAGGGGGTGGGGAGAATGTGCACATTTTATTGAGAAAAAAGGAATGAGGTGCTATTTATCTCTTTTGGCGTAAATGGAAAGAAAGTAACATTTTTAAGCACTTGTAATAAGATTTTTTATTAGCTGGGCTCTCACATAATGCAAAAAGACAAAAACTTCTGTGAAAGCTGAAGCTTTGTGAAGCTCACAAAATCTGAGATTCTTCTCTTTATATCCTTTGAAATGGAAAAGCCAGATCTATTTTGAAGACATTTTATTTGCTGGTTCTACCAACATACCAGCTGAGACCGCCTTAAGTCTCATTAATGTTTTCATTATTATAAAATATGTCTATTTATGTTTACAAATCTACTTTATAATATAAGCCCCCATATGAAGCTGAACAAATTGCCTTATTTCATACTGGCTAAAAAAAAAAAAAAAAAAAAAAAAAAGCTAATTAGGTTTCAAGAACTGATAAAGGGAAAAAACCCAACAAATTACAACATGACCAGAGAAAAGTTACTTTCCTGCTTCCATCTCCTCCCTCCTGCCTAGCTGAAATGATAGCTGTTATCCCTTACAATCAGTTACACAGAATTTCAAGAGATTCAATTCAGCTAAACAGACAAATTACATCACTTCCCTCCTGTAACCAACTTTCCTGTATTGACAATGAAACCTTCTGTGTGATGTGTGAAAGTGTATATGACTACTCATTAAAAAAGATATTTTATGTCATACAGGGATGTTTTATGAAAATGAAGTATGTTCAGATTTTTATCAAAAGCCACAAAGCAAACCCTAACCTTTCCTCTTTGCAGAGTAACTTCAACAAAATAGTTTTTCACCAAGACAGCATTCCTAAAAACATTAGTAATTGAGAAACTAAACTTCCTACTGTATCATCATCAACTGGACTCATAGTCATGATGCAAGGATCATTTCATCTGAAAAAAATGATTACTACCATATTTCTTTATAAGAATGTCATTCTGTGTAATTAGCATGCACACTAGTACAGGTTGATAACAATTCTTAGAGGAAGATTAATGTCACCTGATTTCAGTGCCACTTAGCCTTTTAAAGGGTAACACACCCCTGTTAGTCAAAGGAAAGAGAAACAGACACTACTACAGGGTGCTAGAGAGGGATGGATAAGAGGGGCAGGAAAGGCACCTTCGAAAAGTGGTTTGTCATACCTAGATAAATCCTGCCCTTCCAAATTAGTAACAATGGGCTGGACTCCGGTAGCTTTAAACATGAAATAACAGCTTGCATACCACCAATGCAACAAAACACAGCAAGGCATTATCAAGCAACACAACTTCCTGCTAAGGAGCATTCATTTTCCTGTGAATCAGTGTTGATCACCCGTCTTTGCTAAATTGGAAATCCCATAGTCATATTCCCAAAAGGCTGAAAACACCATGCCTCCTATAAGCAAATTTGTGTTAAAATCTTTGCCTTCATAACTGAGCAGCACAAGCAGAAAAATTTCATAATGTAGAAGCAACCTACAAGTTCTTAGAGTTGAAGCCTGGGCTGTTTGTTATGAGGAGGTATCAGTACTCTAGGGGGGGAAAAAACTATCCTTAAACATGAGAAAATTAATTGTAGAGCCTGTTTTAATATCTTAGTGACCTCCCGCTTCAAGGGATAAACATGTAAAAGGACTGTGTCACTTGCACCCAAAGCAGAATTCCTACATTTCACACAGCTGTGCTGGCAGCAGAGGGGGATGCTCCCAGCCACAAATGGAGCACAAGTCTGCCAAGCCAGCAGGCACACCTGTCCTCAGGGAGCCTGGGGAACGTGCTCGAGGCACACACCAAAGCCCGTAGCATCCTCCCTGCAATGGACTTACTGGTCCCCAGGACAAAACAGGCAGAACAAACCTCCCCAGAGAAAGCTTCCTGAACAGTAATAATCTTTTACAGTCCCTTCTGGCAAGTTTTGCCTGTGAGTAACTACCAGGTCTATTGTTACACACACAGGCTGTTCAGCCTGCCCTGTCTGTCACAGTGCCAGGCAGACCACTGGCAGGGTGACTCTGTGGAGCCTCCTCAGCACTGTAGTCACTGCTAGCAAAAGACAGCATTCAATTTGAAAAATTAAAAGGAAATAGTTAAGTGAGACAGGTTGACGCAAGGTTTTAATCACAGATTGCTTATATCTAAGAATGTTCCTTTTCAGACAAGCTCAGGGGCAGTAGCTGTCACTCAGCTCAGCAGGCTGGATCTGCAGCAAAGGCTGTTTGTTTCAAACCACAGCCTGAATAAACCTGCTACCTGGTAATTTGTCATAATAAACAAATGCTTATAAATTGCTAGAGTAGAAATGAATAAACCATTCACAGCAAATCATCCATCCAGTAAATTGTATCCTTTTTCAGTTCAAGAATTGCCAGGAAACAGTCTTGATACATACTGATGTTTATGCTAGTCACAATATTTTTTGGATATCATTTGGATGAGCACCTCTTCCTACAAACCATCCAAGCATTCCCTGGTGTGAATCTTACATCTTGACATGTGCTGAGCATTTGGGCATCTCTTCCACAAAAGGCAAATGAGGGCTGCAGCTGCAGAGCTTTGGGACGGAGCTGCATCACAGCCCGCTGTGCTGACAGGCTCCCCACTGCACTGATTCCAAGGAGACTGACTCCTGCTCCACGACATCCTGGAGTAAAGTGCATCCCACCAGAAGCTCACACTCAAAAGGACTCAAGCACACAAACTAATTTCCACAGATCATAAAGATCCTGAAACTCACTTTCCCACCAAGAATAGAGATCATATTATTGCCAAAACTAAAAGCAAAAGCCCATCGTCTAAGCTGAGGTTTCCTCAGTAATTCTTACACACCTGACCATAGACATGTACATCGATATGCAGGCAAATAAACTAATCCTAGATTTATAGAATAATAAGGTTATTTCTCCCACAAAAGAGAGACCATTTAGGTTGTGCAAAGATCATTATTACTGGGGTTTCTACTTAATTCACTTAATGGGAAACTGAGGAAAGACAGTTACTCAACACCAAGTTGTGGAAGCTATACAAAAATGATTGGTTTGTGTAGTATGACTTTTGTTGGGCTCTAGAAAGATGCAACAGTTCTGACCACAGATTTGTAAAACACACGTGCAGGAGTTTTCCCCAAACTGCAAATAGAACCTCCACCTGATTATTCTGGTATTATGATTGATTACCAATCTTCTGATCTGTGAACTCCTGTCATTCAGTGCATTTAGGAAGATAACTTCTATGCTCCCACATCTCTCTCTTTTTCTTCAGAGTCCCTTCACACTGGTAGCACCTATTGTGTCAGGCAGGCCACAGGGGTAAGGAACAGAAGGGACACATCCTTTCTGCAGCTCTTATTCAAGTCAGAAGGGATTATTCATAAATGTAGAGATTGGTCCCAGGTATGAAAACTCTGTTTTCTACAAAACTACCACTGGAGGAAATCCTCGCTATTAAAATACAAATCATGTTTATTGATTTTATATCACAAGGAGTTGCACCAGCTTTTCATAGAAGTATTCAGCCTCCTAAAGACTGAGTATATTTGTCTCTGTCTTTGAAATCCAGACAGGGGGAAAAATTCACATTTTCTTTAGAATCAGAAATTTCTGTTATGCCCCTTGTCAGTTGAGAATCAGCAGAAGAGCTGTGGAATTTTCCTGTGCCTACTGCTTCAGAACATCCAGTTAAAATAATGACATCACAGAAACACTTCAGCAGTCCAAGTGAAACAAAACTTCCTCGGGATTTTGTTTCAAAAATGGCAGAGTTTGAAACACAGCTCACTATACGTGCATTTAATTTAGATCACTGCATTCTGACCCAATTTGGAGTCCATTGTACCGTTTTGCCTAAAAATTGTGCAGGTGATATACCAGCACAGGAAAGGATATGAAGATACATGACAATGACAGCTAACAGGTCACATTTGGCATCTCAAAACCGTCTGGTTTACTGTGCTTTTTATATGGAAGCTTGAGTTCTTGTTTACACAGTCCTTGTGGTGAACCTGAACAAGAAGAATCCACTGGATCAGAAATACTCATTTTCCTTCACACAGTATCAGCCCCTTGCACAAACCACTCCAGCTTATTTTTCTTTGCATTTTTTCTTCTCTTGTTGAGTCTAATCGTATTGATCTTCCCCTAAACCTGCCCCAACCCTTTTCATCTTGCAGTGTGTTTAATGAAGGGCTGTTCAGACAGAACTCAAACTGCACAGAAAATTTATAGCACAGCAAGCTTCATCTGGAGAAGGTGTGAATTTATTTTTCCAATGATGTAAAA